CCTGCAGCTCTAGTGTGTTTTGCTAGACTATAACAGCACTAAGGAATTAGCTGGAAAATTTAATCGCAAACGGCCAAATCACTGGACTAAAGCGGACAAGACCTATCTCCGTCCGAGCATCCAACTCCCATGACGTATTTCATATAGATCTTATATACGTGTATTTCTCGGAAATGGAAGAAACTGTTCCTACATTAGGAGCAGACCACTATGTACAGTAATGATCATGCTCTTGCATGCGTGATGTTGATGCTAATATTTAGCTTTTTAGATATTTTCGGACCATTCCGGAATATTTCATCAAGTGAGTTATCGGATGAAAACATGGATAAGAAAACTTTCAGATTTAAGAATCTATCGAGGTTGGTGTAGAATGATGTAGGGTTTTCACGTGTCCAGACTCAGGGTACTATGTTAGTTCACTTCATCAAAATGGACTGGTTAATTATTATACTGTATTATCAAGACAACGGTCGCCGACAATTCGGGCACCAGTTGACAATCGTTCAAGACAAATCACGTGACAAAAAAGGATAACTTGCGCGGTTGCATGAATTACGGTTGGCTAGGACGAACTAAGTGCCGAGTTATGTAACACTTTGTACGAGGTAGCGTTATTACTTCGACTATATGCAAATAGTGGTAGCCAGGCTTCACAATACCTAGTCGGATGTCGCCGATAGTGTAGGTGAAGCGTTATGCCGAAACGCATGAGGCTGTCGGGACATACAATCGAAGGAAAGACCTAGGACAGAGGTCGTGGGATTTGTACATAATCCGAAAATTCTGATCGTCAGCAGAAATCAGCAGTGCGACGGGACTTGCAAGGATGAGCACACTAGCCTCTCCTCTGTTCCGCACAAGACCACTTTTAGTAAACAATTCTTCCAGAGATATATGTAAGTGCCATTGGAGGAAGCAATGTACTCTATAGACTTAGGCTCATGTACGACTTGATTCCCAAGACAAATTGAACCGAATTGGATATAGCGGAACTCGGTAAATGTGGTTCTATTCAACAATTTTAAATGCACGGAACTTACATACGACTATGTGCGTAGACTTAGCCTGACCGTTGCTCCACAGTTCAGTAGTCCGAGTTAACGGTAACACGGACAGTAGTGAACCACATACCAACAGTGAAAGTTCATGTTAATGATTCGCAAAGGGGGTGCTTCAGTTAGCCACAGTGGTGCGAATAAACAAGTCATGTTCGTGTTTTATGAAGTAGGTAGTTGTGCACAAATTAACATTAAATGTGTAAGTTTGGATTATCCATATACTGACGAGTAGAAAAACAGGATAAAAGATTGCAAATCCGCGATTTGTAATTCGCACATGCCAAGCGGCCATAAGTTACTCTGAGGGTACTGTTGATATCGACCCATTGTGCGTGAAAACTTCATCGTAGCTGGAGAATTAGCTCGGATGACAGTTTGTATCGATGAGGTCGAACCGATAACGAAATTCATAAAATGCAATCATGCTCCATATTGTAACCTTTAAGAGATTCGGTGATAGTCTATCTAAGTAACTGACTGTGGCCAACTGAACCACTCGATAAACCACAGCTGTGTGCATATGGTTAGATGAATCGGGTGGCCAGTGTGGCAGTTAATATTGACATCTGCTCTACACGACGATAGGTCGTTAAGCCAAACAAATGAGTATGAGGACATGGAACGACAAAGCGAAGAACCCTATTGCGACTTTAAGATAGCGCGTCAGCATTGAATGGACGAATTGCCTATTGGGGACTGCATCCGGAGAAATTACGAACAATGAGTCGTAACTGGGTTGCGGTGTCCAAAAGGCGCTGCAAGTAAACTCATTGTAGGAACCGCTTTGGAAATACTGAACGCGACGCAAGTTGTGAACGCGTTCCTCTGTACTTACCAACACGCACCGAACTAGATCTAAGGTAGCTCGCAAAAAGCCACTAAATTAATTGATAAAGCAAGGTAAACATGGCGTTTGTTTGGGCGGGTTCACAGTATCAACGAGGTCCTGTTGTAATAGCGCCCCGCAAGAGGTGAAACACTTCGATGTCACAACGGTCCATCGGAGTCGGAAAAAGGGACGCCAAACTCGTATGTATGACAGTTGGAGTTGGTGAAGACCGGGCACACTTAGAGGTCGACAGGAACCCAATCCCAGTCCACATGCGAAAGTGGAGTAAGACAAGTTCACTACATTGGAAGCAATCAGCTTACGAAAACGCATCCGACTCACGAGCACTGTTAAGTGTTCGCCGCTGGCCTTAGATTAACAGCGCCATTATCCATCACTGACGTGTTTAATGATTTTCCCTTCCGTCCATTCCACTCAGAAACAGCATTCCCTTTTGCCCTCAACTCTACTGTCACCGGATCTCTGTCTACCTGCCAGGAACTATATCCAATTTTAAACAACGATACACTCAGTGCTTTTCTCCTATATCAATGATTGAACCCAAGTGGCCCTCCGCTGTCATATCTACCGCCGATTCAAGGACACCGTCGCTTGTCCACCTACATTTCGAGTAGGTGGTTGTTGGCACTATGTAGTATCAGTAGAGGTGCGTCATACCTAGACGTAAAACAGTCATCACACATCCAGAAAAGCACTGTGTAACCGTTTCATCTTTTCGGGAATCGTCAGCAGTGCGTATTCCACCTAGCCCATGTGGGACTCGAAACTCCACTTTTGACAGTTTGTGGTTAAAATCATTGAGCTATAGGGTACGGTAACGACTGTCCTAACTACATTTGATAAAGCACGGCTCACTATCCACTTAATTGCATGCGACTACAGTGCAGAGGACAAGATAGCTTTTGGAACGCAAACAATTCGCACATGAATAATGGATCATAGCCACGGACACAATCCCTCCCAAGTTAGCGCAAGCGATGGTTAGTATGATAGCAGGAAATCAGAAGTGAACAGGTGCTGCAGTTAGACTGCAGTCATGGCAACGAGGTGCCAGTCTCCTCTTCTCACAAAGAGCCTAAATATCACACATGCCATTGCTTATTCGTGCAGCTCTGGGTTGTCTTCCACCTGTGCCATAATGATTGAGTGTCAGCGAGGAAAGGAGAATCCTCAATTCAGATTTGTGTGACCATTCCGAACCAAACCAAGACAAATGAGCAAGTTGTGGCGCCGAGATAAACACGGCAACTACCATCGTGCTACTACTTTGCGAAAAAGAAACTGATGTGGCTCATGGGAAGCGCAATGCGCTCATACGACGTGGGTACGTGTCTTCCGCCACAAAGACCAAGCATGATGCAAACGTACGACATTATCGTTTCGGGAATAGCTAGAGATATAGCCCGTCTGTCATTATCGCCCATCATGAATTCTTCAAATGGGAGCAATACTTAGCAGTGATAGTAACTAGCACTACAGTAGCAAATGAATTGTATCGTACGAGTGTGGCTCTTAACCAAGGTGTTTGGTTCCACAATCCCGATAAAACATCATCGGCGTTGAAAGTAGACACACCTCTGGTGAATGTCCCATAGGCGGGTGCCTCGACAATAAGAGTGTAGCGCCATCAGTGAATCCACACCTGATTGTGCAACGAGTAAAGGCTGACAGCTGCAAAAAGCGGTGCCCTGGTAGTGAAAATCTTGTTCGCACCCGCGTTACAGTCCTAATCGTTCCGGGCGAGGACAGGGCTAACATGGAAATAACCTGTGCATCTGGGACGAAGAAGACACGTTCATTACGACGTTACAATGACCAACTGTAGCGCCGTGACTAAACCAATGAAAAGAAAACTGACTGCCTCGCACATCCACATTCCTGATTCTCAATCCACTACGCTCCCCCTTGTTTTCCTACGCAAATAACAAACTGTTCTGATAGCACAATCGTAACTATAAACGTAACAATGTGGAAAGAACGTGGAATTCTGTTGATAATGTCACACTATAGAGTCTATGTTCTGTGAACAAGTGGGTTATGCCCAGGTAACCGGCTACCACAGTGCCATAACGATGGGATTGGGCGCAAGCACAGAACCAAGATAGACCATAGGTAGATGAAAAACTGACCAGTTTATCACCGCCGGCACAGTAGATGTCACACAGATGCAGTGGGATGACACTGGGAACAGTTCGAACACGTCTTGTTACATCGAGCGTAGATAAAGGGAATGCTGTCGTCAGGTCACATACCACGGTAACCAAAATCTAATGGGTGGCCAACGACAAATTTGTCCAGATATAAGGCTGGGTGACTCGAGTCGCGAATGGTCAAGTGCAGAGGTGGCAATCGAATCGACCGGTATGACAAACGAAAGCCGCGTTTCGCAATAGTAAACCATCATCATTACACCACTGCAGAGAACTATGAATAGACAAAGCTGACATAAGCACCGTAGTTTATGGTTGATTTAACCAACAGAATCAAAGTTAGGAAATACTCCTGGTCATTGTACCGGTTGACAAAACGACTGCAAGTAGGCCAAGGTGTTGGTGACCTGAGGTTCGCTTGCTGAATGGCTGACGGTGTGCCTAAGTCAAGTGAAGTCGTATCACCCATAGGGACTCACCACATGACGTTACAGAATGTGTAGAGGAAGGAGAACAGATGATAAGTACAATGAGAGTATGCTGACTTCAGAAAGGTGCGTGATTCACTTTTATAATGTGAAGCGAAGTAAAGAATGCTAAGGGTACACAATACAAAAGGCAACCAGATGTGGTGTATCTATTGATCTAGAGAATAACTTGACCGACCGTCGGAGCTTTGCTGCTGTCAGCAGGGTGGGCTTAAGCCGTGCAGCAGTCTTCCGAAGGGGGCAGAACTACAAAGCTAAAACAGTATATCATCAAATGTTAGAGCGGATAAAGCACTAATTCATGACGGATTTGTCTCGTTCAATTAACTGACTAATGAAGCCGATTGAAGGAACTGGTAAGGACCACATGATGACAACATAGCTCAACAACGCGCTCAGAACTCAGGCTTTAGATAGAATCACCATGGCAACGAAAAACAAAAGTGCTCACCGCAGATTCGTCCACCATTATAACTGACATAAACTGAAGTAGAATGAACGCTTCAGTGCCGCTAGTTCCGCTGGTCTAAGCAGCACAAACCAATTGGCAAAGTGCTGGCTCGTTCGAAAGAAAAGCCAATGGCTGGTATGACTGCAATCTCTATGATTGGCTGATCAGTCAGCATACCTTGAGGCTGCTAGTTGGTCTATCACAAACGGAGAGATAATTGCAACCGAGGGGCCTGAGTGCGTCAATAGAAGCAAGATAGGGACTAGGACCTCGTTTGCACTGCACTGCGAATTGTCCAAATGAGAAGCGGGTTCGGCCACAGTTTGGAATAAACAAAATAATACGTAATTCTTCGCAAAACTTAATTGGCCCGAACACATGGCGGACGCGAAATCGAAGGCGATGCAAGTATGCAGTTCAGACCAATTAGTGAAGGTAGCTGAGTAAAACGGGATTGAGTAAAGCCGAAGCGGTAATAAATCGTGAATCAGGTCCATGTTAGATTTGGGTAGGTGTGCCTACTGGATCAGTGTATAGAAAATCTTATTGACTGCCCGCAATTACAAACTTGCCTTCTATTCAAGTGGCACCAAATCATATAGGCAGTGTGAAACTCATCACACCGCATTCCTTGGATGCACAGTCACCGGACGGTATGTGGTCAAACCCGCATCGGACCTGGGTAGGCAGCAATTAGGTATACCCTACGACACAAACATGAAGATACTTCGTGAAGTTGCCCGCCCGAAAACCCTGCACTTCACGAAAGGTGTCGAGGTTATTTGACCTGATCAGGTAGATATAGTAGGCATCGAACCCGGGGCCATTTGGATGTTACCTGAGAGTTCTACTCCTCTAGTCACCAGATAACGATGGGTAACGCTTGTTACAGCAGTTAATGATTGACTGGAGGGGTCATTTTGTAGTACTCATCGTGTGAATAGATTGCGACGCGTAACCTCAATGTGGACCGCGATTCCCAGTAAAGTGAACCGTGAACAATTCGATCATTGGGGCGATAACTGATGAGATCAAATAAGTTCGGAACACGTCGTGGAGTGTAGGGTTTTCAGGTGCGTAACACATGATATCTATCTGCTTCATCGGTTACATTCCGAGTGATCAAATTGGCCACAATTCACCTCAGTATGAAACGCGGTCCCCATTGGGATTGCCTGTCGCAATCCATTCATACAAAGAGTGTTCAAGAATGATCCTCTAGTGTCGTGGTGTTCCTTCACTCGATAGTGACTCACGCGTATGTGCTCCATCGATCGTGGCGTGTGAATGGAACTAGCAGACAGACGATTGTCTTCAAAATCCAGTGTCAAAGTGAACTGTCAAGCGGTTGGGCATCGTGGACAGCAACGGAGTCGCAGAACCGTCAGTAGTCGGAGAAAGATGCAAGCAAAAGCTATCCTGTGCCATATCCATTAACTTAGAATAGCATAAATACAAAAGTAAGCAAAATGTTCGCTTTTCTGAGATTACTATCAGCTAGCCTATATGGAAATGGATGCCCTGATTCGATAAGAGGCGATAGTGACGTGTATATGGTGAATCAGCGGAAAGAAAAATAAACGTGGGGTCTTGAGCTCAACTTGTGTGGGCCCAACAAATGTGGCTCAGAGAACGAAATGTGATAACAGACGACAAACTGGTCCAGCGCGATTATGCCCTACATCGGGTAGTAAATTACCTACCTGCACAGCTGACAAGTCGCTGTCAGTTCTGAACTACCTGCCATCTATTTTAAAGATAGCTACAAAGAGGAATTCCCGACACACGGTCGATACAAAATCAAGACGCCAGCTAATCGGTTAAGCAAAAACAGCGCGCCCGGATCAGGTTACTTTGACCGGATCGAATAGTATGGGATGGTGATAGAGGAGAACACCAGAAGTTACAAATGTGGAGGTATTTAGACAATGGAGGGATGCAACCCGAGGCGTAGGGACGAAGTTGGTGGCGTCGATGGAACCAATGTGACAGATGTCCCCCCCCCCTTGCTCAAGACGAAGACGGATGAGTGATGTAAAGAATGTACATGAAAAATATGCAATAAAACAGGGAGAAATAGTAACTAAGAAGTGGCGTCAACACGGAAAGTGTCCTGGTAACTTGGAAGTTGGCGCCTGATGCGTGCGAGGAAACTGCATAAAAGAGAAGAAAAGGTATAGAAGATTATGGAAAAATAGCAGAGACCGATTTAAAATAAAATTCACCGAGTATGCAGCGTTATCAGAGAGATTGTTCAGTAGCCAGTGGTTCAAGTTGGGAATAGATTCTGTTCGACCATTCTCCATGTAATTACGATGACAAGAAAAACTAACGCTACTGCATGGGTTAGTAGAAGCTGGATCAAAATTGGATGAAGCACAATGGCACAACCAGGGTTAGAAAAAGGCAAGAAATACCGGCCTCCAACTCTGCACTACACGGCTAATTTTGTGCCTTCAAGGAGAAGTACAATTCAACAGAGATGCAATGAGTAATTCGAAGCAAGTCAACAATAGTCAGGGTTGGTTAGTCTGATGTCTAGATCGATAAGCAAGTCAATTTGTCCGGCAGGCAGTCATTGCCACTGTACACCATAGCTACACACGCACACACAAAGGCAACAGAGGGTGTGCGTCGGATGGCGCCCTACTCAAGCGGTGGCATCTACCATGTGAAGACGGCCATATGAAAACAAGAGTCCTTTGAATGGTACTTCAACGAAAACTTTGAGTGCGTGATTAAGACCTGATGTACACCTTGGATTAAACGCTCCAGATTAGAATTGTCTATGATTGCGATCGTACAAAGACACAGGATTCGGCTAGTTGTATCTAAAAACACCCAGTTGCCACAGAAAACTAAGTGAAAATTTTGTATGTTTACTGACAAGCGGCGTACGATCCGTAGATGAGAGCGGGTACCTTGCCTTACCTATACAAGGAAAGTGATATAGAATATGATTCGGATCGAACCAAACGTTTAGCTCCGAGGCATCGACAATGAATGGGATGGTTTCTGCAAAAATTATTAGGTAGGTAGTTGGGCACATCTAGACCGCTGTTGTACATGATATGAGATCACTAGAACATACAGAGAAATTGTAACGTGTGCGACTTCGTATGCTATGGACATTACGACGCAGTTTCTTCACATGGTCTGAAGAAACCAACCCTCGCCTATTCACCTCGCCCAGCAGACCAATCCTTGAATACGCCGCCCCAGCTTACGTACCGATTACCCAGTAGCAAACCGAAAAGCTGAAGAAAATACAGCACATCGCAACTAGAATGATACCCAGTCTACGAAAACTTCCGTATGAAAAACTGTGAAAAGCTCGGACTCTACACACTATCCTATCGCTGAGTAAGAATTGACCTTATTATGACCCATCAAGTACTACAGTTGAATTACTTCCTAATACTGCGGCCAATATTTCACTTGCGGGAACCCTGTAATACCCGAGGACACGGTCACAAACTCTGGGTCCCCTGCATGAACAAGGTATCACATCAGCTTTGTATAGAACGAAGAATCGTAAACTTATGGAATACACAACCAGAAGGATTAATAGAGGCCGATACTGTGAAGTGTTTTAAATCACGTATGGACGATTATTTCGAAAACCTGTGCTTTTGTGAAACGATGCATATACAATGCCAAAAGAAGACATTGTATGCACGGAAATAATGACACTAGTACAAATTGCTAACCGAATAAGGATAAACGATTAACTGACCAGACACAACCGCTGATGGTTCACGACTAAATGTTTTTAAATACAGTCTCAGTACAAGGTGCACTGGCCGGTAACACGAAGGAAACATCACCGTTAAGAGGAACTGGAAAATTCACGCTCTTTCTCGTTAAAGTGGTGGTCATTTTAAGGCAGGTACGCACCACTGCGTCCCTCTGGGTGAGAGAGGTCGGGTAACTGTGTTGTAGCTGGGTTTAGAAAAAGTGGCCGTTTCGCCTTCTAGTGTCACAGGGCTGCAACTTTGTACGGCATTATTTTAAGGTTAACGAACGATATTCCGTATGTGCTTCAAAGTTACAAAGCCGACAACGTGCCCGGATTGGCCTAGGCATACAGACTTGTCTGCATAGCAATGCGCCCAGGAAAAGTGGTAGTTTTTATGTTTAATTTTGCTAGTGAAATGAAACGATGGGTGTACCCAGTTGGACTTGTCTGGCGGACGGATAACACCGGTTTTTGAATCACAGGTTATAAATGTGTCATTGACGCGCCTCCGATAAGAATCCAGTAAAGCGATAATCAGTCGGGTAGATCTAAAATCAAGTTAAACAGGGAATTGGTCAGCGAGAGACGGTCTTGGGAGAGATCCATTGCAAGCCCGTTAGGTTTCTCCCAACAAACAGGGATGAATTGTTGTAGATTCATCATAAAATGACTTCTTCACTTTACATAGAGAAAGGTAAATATAGCCATTTTGACTGTGAACCCACAAGGGAAATTGGTAGTCTCTATCAAAGGGAAGTTAGTGAATGGGAACTACGCCGAAAGAAAGCATTCCGTTACTATTTGTTTTCAGATTTCTTTTCTTACACATTCTAGTCTCCTAGAGAGTAAGTGGACAGTTGTTCACATGCGGGTTCCAATGATTCTACGATCTATACCATAACGGGATGGATGGCGGAGGCAAACTTGTGAATTATCGGACGAAAAGGGATCCGTATGAGCCAAGTGAGGTTAGCTTTCAAGCAGACACGTATGTTTAAAGTGTTTCAAGAGTTTCGTGATGTTCGGGTTTTAACTTTCCGAATTGCCTCGCTTATGTAGTTACTCATGCACGACAAAATAATGTAGTCACGAGACGCAGTTTGGAATGTCCACACATGTTCTTATCAGATTTGGAAAGCGTCAATCATGGGTTCGACTTCACTTCTTTAGTGGCAACCCGATCGTTCTCAGACGGGACGCGCGATGGTCTGGTCTAACAGCTTCGATATATAGTTGACGCAAGCTTAAGAGCTATTGAGGATTTTCTCAGAATCTCGAGAGGCTCAGTGTACAACAGGTGGCAGAAGATGTGAAGCTAACAAGTAGATTATAACCTGTTTTGGTAAACAGTCAGCAACATCATTATCAATCCCACTGCAGATGACAGAAGTCTCAGCCATACAAGTGGTAAACACGAGGAGCGAAGTAGAAGGAGGTCATGGCGCATTAAAAGTTAGACATTCAGTTAGTGACCATACTCAGGTATGCCGCTGGTGGCAAAGAGAAGTGGTAGTGGACACAGGTTTTAGCATTACAACAGTAGCAGTATGTCAGTAATCTGAATCGATGGTCCGGTGCCATACACCCACAATACCCTGGGGAATGAGGAATAATAGGGGGAAGAAGGGGGACCTGGTGTAAAAGCTAGGCGCCTGAAGTAAACACAGAGTCAAAGCGTCCACAACTTATCAACAAACCGACCAGTGTGAGTGGATCAGGAGACGCGGCGAATTTATCGTAGGCCGAATATTCGTGGTAAAAAGACGCTATCCTTCATTATGTGACCGCACTCCCTAATAATCGAAGGAGAGATATCCAACATGGGGCTGGAATCGCATGGATTGCTCCAGGAAAAACCATTTCGTCTGGTTCTGCTGACCCGTGGATGATCACATTCGACAAGTTGAATCATGACAGTCAACGCGGCATGGAATCCATAAACGGCAAGTGTCTGAATCATGGCGATGCAAGAACAACCAGTGTATTTTCAACCGGACTCACGGAGCACTACCAATGTAATGCCTGAGGAACAATACGTGGGGTAATACAGTGCCATAGAAAGCGAACTTATCTCAAGATGTGGAATAAACCGGCAACAACACGAGTAAAGTTAGTAAACCGGAGGAAGAAGTGCAACAATAGCTCCAGTTTTTGGTGCTTAGTAGGACTTAGGCTAACCTTGAATACTGATTCCATGCAAGAACTAGATTTGTATCCTTTGCCTACGGCAGTCTGGTTCACTTGTACCAAACAAGTTCACACTAGTGTGCTTGATGGCGTTGTGGGAAAACAGCAGGAATACGCGCGCACAACGCGCTGAAGGAAACAGTTAAGCTGGTTGTCATGCACGTGAAGTGATCATAAAAAAATACACCATCTGTCCCGGTTGGGTTGAGTGGGAAGATGGCAGAGCAATACGGAACGGAAAAAAACAAGTAACCGTCGTAGAGATCACAAGCCAAGCGAATAATTAGGAAGTGGAAATTTAAAGTTGTCATTCATCTTGGGATGAAAGTCAATGAATACAAGAAAGTAGCCATGAAGTCCCCAAACAGAGAGCAAATGTTCCTGTGCAAAACACTGTGGACTGCGCGACAGGCTCCAGGAACACAATCCGGTGGAACTTAAATATCTTAAAACAATAAGCACTACCACCAAAAACGCGACATAAGTAAAAAACGTCATGGTACGTGCGTTTTTACTGTCTGCTAAAAACCGTTGTATCCTGGTATGCAGAAGTGGATGATCACAACATATGGATTCTATTACAGCCTGGTTGCGTTTGGGTATGGTGAGCACAAAAATTGAGAAAGTTCAGTGATCGAATGACAATATAATGGTGACACTGAGTACAAGCAAACTCAGCGCAGAATCAGCAGTTAACAGCGTGTTCTTCCACTCTGAATGTGATCTCTATGCCATACCAAGTAGCACCGATCCATCTATAGTTGCGAACGGAATCCCGACTGTTAAGTCGGTGAACGATACGAAATTGTGCCCTGTTACAATAGTTGCACCCTGCTGGTTCCGGAGATATCAGACGGGTATTAGTGCACTGGTGAGATAAAATCAAAGTGGAAGAAAATATGTGTGACGAAAAGACATGAGGAATTTGAAAAGTGGTTCGTTTAGGCTGGCATGCATTGTAATAGATCAGACATGTCGACGAATAGGGATACAGACGAGCATGGCGCTGTTGGGAGACCAATGGTATCGCAATGTTATTCATCACCACCGACCACCCACAATTGTGACCAACATTGCGAGTTTTTGAAGTCATGCTAATGGGATTCGCTGTAACTCGGTCCTAGAAGCACTGTTGTTAAACAGAGTCAAATTGAATATCTGAGTGCATAGACTACCATAAAAGCTGGTTGCTTGTCAACATAGAGATACGAACGAGGAGCATACAAGGGGCAGGTTGAATAAGAAAGGAACCTAATCAGCAAACAAGGTCGGTAATTATAGCCATAATTTACGCGAGTGCCTAGTGAGTAAAGGAATAATCTTAAACGTCACATCTTAATTTATATGCCAGAGAATTTCTATGGAAGCCAGGAAGTAGGAGAGAAATTGCATAAATAGATAAATGGGTGAAACAAACGTATGCCATATAGTGCTACACGAAACAAAAAATAGCCTAAGTTTGTTGGGGGGAGGATCATATTGAAGTGCTCATTGCGTGGATGGACTGAGATGCGCAGTGCCAATTTAGTGCTTAAATACTCATACGCTCAGAAGGATAAGTGATGGGAGAGTGCGTAGATCGTTTCCACGGAAACATAGTGGCGACCACTTGTTTGAATTGCAAAAGAGTTCCTTTCCGTGAGAGCATTGCACGGGTGTATAAAAACCGCTCGTGAGATTCCGGAGTCAGCGTTGGAGATTTGGTGAGAACGTATGTAAAGTAAACAATGTGTGGATTTGTGGTGATAAATAACGGATGAAGGAGAAACGAGAAAGAATAGCTACGGCAGATAGCGGGGAGTCAAACTATGATAAGAAATTCAATGAAAGTCGAATCGAGTCAATCACAATGCATTAGTGACAAAAAAAACCCACAGGCACACACACACACATAACCTACGTTTCAAGGTCCAGATGTCATGGACCAGCGGCCTGGATTCGTATTGGAAGGTAATTGGTTGCCAGCCAACGGTAATGGCTGAGGGACTGAGGATTGCTGTTGTGGTGGATTATGATGATGGGGCCGTAGACGCGTTTCGGTATCCGAGTGTCCAGCGCTAGTCACGTTTTGTGTCCGAGCTTGGACGCACACATTGATGTGGGAAGCCCAGTGTTTGGATTGACACACGTTGTTGCAGTAACACGTATTCCAGCAGCAATAGTAGTATGCTAGTCGACCACAGTAAGCACACTGAAGATAATCAGAAAAACACGTAATGATACGACACGATAAGGAATACGAAGGATGTGAGGCGAAAAGTAGACGAATAGAACATTGGTCTATCTGTAGATTACCTTGGTACGATTTTTCGCGACTAAGCTACGGCTTACAATGCCCCTATGATCTCGCGTTGATTGCTGACGGAACATTTGCACCCAGATTGCAAAGCTAAGCAAACAAATGAACAACTGAGCAACGTGGGGTAGATGAGTATTCCTCAGTAATGACAAAACCGTTTGGCCTTATGATGAAGGCCTCAAAATACCTCTAGAGGGACATCGGTGGGTTCGAATGGTGGATGGTGCTGAGTTTCCCTGCTCCGTATTTAGGCGTTATACAAACGGCTCCATATTAAAAATATTGTTTAACTCAAAGTTGGTTTGTTGATAAACACAATATGTGATTAATATCCGGGGATCCTTCGCACGAGGCAATCGACACAACGCCCATGCGGTAGTGGGCGAGGTGGATACGACCGCAGCCATCGTAAAGACAACTACGGTGGTAACTATGATGGAAATGTGCAGTTTGAGTGAACAGGCGAATCAGGCAATCAAAGAAAGGCGAAATTGACGGATTCAGTCATTAAACGCAGCAAGCATAGACATCCATCTACGCAGCTTTGTTGATAGGCTAAAGTTCCGATGCCTGTTTTACTAAGTGAAAGGGGGAGAATTATAGACCTAGAAACCTGGTTGTTAGTGGAAGGCGTTCGGTGGGTGAAACATGCTATTATCTTGGCTTGTTTCCTTTTGACTTGCATGTACCTGAAAGACCGACATTTTGACGGCAGATAGTCTTCATGTAATTCAAGGCAAATTGAAATGCAAAAAGTTTGCATTTTGCCAGCCCAAAATGTGAAGGAAAGTCTATCCCTATGACATCATTTCTACCAGACAATGTACATCAAATTCGCTATACCCATCAGAACGCAAGTAACTTCAAATTAAGATAGAACTATCGATGGAGTTACAAAATCGAGGTTGATATTCAAAGAATGAAGTTGGTTAGACGAGACACTAATTAAATGATAAGCACGATCAATTTTGTGCTGTAGTTAAAGACGGAGATAAAGGGCGACCAGAGTGAAGTATTAATGAAATAATTCGTAATATCACTTTTACAAGTCGACAAGCAAAAGCAGTTGCTCACTACAGAACAGTGGTAGCATCTGATGTTAAGTGTTGGAATGAGAAATATCAGGAAAGGCCCTCACAAAACCGTTAGAAAAGTGGTTAATCGGTAAACGGGGCAACAATCAGACAAAGATGTGATCAATTCAGTAGGGTGTTGATGATTAGAACAGATACTGCTTTTTAATGCTGTACGCAAGCAAGAAAGCAAGGCAAGCGATGAGACTTGGATCAGAATTCCAAAAACACTGACAATTGGTACAGTTTTATAAGTGGAACAAAACGAGTTCAAAAGTACCCAAAAGAAAAAAATGATGACGCCAAGGGATCGGAGTCACTTGTTCATAATCAAAACCAGAAATTGAATTGTGGATTAAGAATTCCTATCGGACCCATATGTTTAGATGGTGGAATAGGGTGCTGTAAAGAGTTAAATATTGATCACACGCAGTTTGAACGACAGATTCAGTAGGTTTAAGGCACAGCTACAGGTAATATACACAGTCAACAAGTGGAATAATAGGTAATAATCACTGGAAAAGCAAAAAGATAATGATAATCAAATAGTTAAATAGGAGTGGTCGTTGGCCAAGGTAACAAAATCGGCTACACATATTTCAGATTCCAAGAGGCGAAGGCATATGGCCTTTGCAATAGAGAGAAATTGTCTGCGGAAGCATCGTGAGTAGCGTTCAGGAAATGAATAGATCACTTTGAAGTCGTTCTCTGATGCTGCATGACCGTAGTGAAGAAGGTGTGACATGATCGAGCCGTTAGAAGACTTCATTTCGCCTCTGTAGAACCGCATTGCTATATGCTCGCGGATCCTCTGGGATAAACGCCTCGAAGTGCGACCGACGTATCATGCACCACAGGAGCAGGAGTATTGATACACAAGCATAGATCGAATCAATGAGGGTAGTTTGTCTTTCAAAGACCTGGAAAGCAGTGGTTTGTTGTAATGGACTATTCTCAAACGTATTTTGGCGTCAAGAGAACATACCAGCGGATGCATCGCCCTTGTATGGTAAATGCATAAAGTTTTTTATTTGGAGCAGTGCTCCTGGGTGACTTACGTTCATATGTTTTCAGATGCTTCCGGATAGATTTGTCTGGGTATCCATTTGCTCTAAGAGCGTCGCTGATTTTCTACAGTTCCACATTGACAGTATCTGATGTACAGATACTGCACGCCCTGAAGGCGACAGATGGTACCAAACTCAGTTTGTACTGTAAAGGGATCGCGCTGTAAAAGTTAGTATACTGTCCAGTCCATGGACTTTTCCTGTGTATACTTCTACTATAAGTCCCATCAAAGTTTCGGTTAATTTTTATATCCGGAAACGAAAGCTGATCTACAGACTCTCGTACGCAGGAGAAGCGAAGGTTCGCAAGTGCGCCGTTAAAGAGTTCCAGCAACTGCATGGCTTGCTTTTCCGACTTGTAAAGTACGAACGTGTCATCCACTTGAAACCTGAGTTGTGTGTTCAAAATACATATGTGCGGCCCACTTTGGCCAACGAACACTGTTACTTAACTATTTGATTAGCATTATGGTAGTTAACCTTCTTGCTTTTCGATTGATTATTACCTACTATTCCATTTGTTGACTGGGTACATTATCTGTAGCTGTGACTAAAAGTTACTGAATCTACCATTCAAATGGCGTGTAATCAATATTTAACTATTTCCGGCAATTCCACCCCCACTTTACAATGTAAACGTGTGGGTCTGATGAGATTTTATCCGAAAAGAATTCTTCCCCATAATTCGATTTCGGGTTTCGATTAAGAACAGTGAAATGGAAATATTTGGTCCGTTGAAGCTCAACATACCCCGTGATACAATCAGATCAGAGTAACTAGCATCTCATGTAAGATGCCCATTTCTGTGATTTCCAAAGAGGAGAATGAGCGGAAATCTTGCGACAAACAGTTGTTTTCTATTAGTTCACCATCAGCTCCTTAAAATAATGGACGCTAAGTTGGAAATGGTTGGATTACTGTACAGCAAGGCAATTGATTAAACCATTCAAAGTGGTTTATCAACATTGGTCGGGTGATTAGGTCGCGGATGTCATATGAGTGCTGGGATGTGGTCCCCTCCTTTCGTAAGGCTGGCCAAGGCAACTGTAGCGATTGAACCATCTTTTGGATGCATAAGTCTGGATTCATCAGTCTTATGCATACCGCCTCCGCGGTAGCAAGCAGACGATTCCTTATTCTGTGGTTCGGGTGTGATGGTACTTTGTACACGATGTCAAAAGCGGTTTGTTTGTCAACCTGGTGTCCGGTGTCTATCAGATGGTTTGTTATTGAACTGCAGCTGGTTCTGGTTGGTGAGCCAATTCGGGAGATGTTCTTTGATTCTCTTACTTTACAAAGGCACATATTGATGCTGTGAGAGAACTTCAACAAAGAGAAGACATTATCATAACCAAGCCAGATAAAGGATCAGGAACCGTAACCATGGATCGCAATGAATATTTAAGAAAAAGGAAAATGATCCTCCCTGATACCTCACGGTTCCTGAAATGGGATCAAGAGAAAGACAAAACGGACCACACAGAAATGCAAATGACCAAGTCGTTAAAGTCGCTAGTAAGTAAGGGGTTTCATAACAAAAGAAACATATGAAACACTTCGACCCACAGGCTATCTCATTCCACGCCTTTATGGCCTCCCTAAGATACACAAACCGGGCATACCGTTAAGACCAATACTAGACATGAGGAGTTCACCATAGCATAGCAGTGTAAGATGGCTGACAAAAATACTGGAACCTATTAGGCGGACACGTTTCAGTTTGTCGAAGCAGTCCTGAACATGAATATCAGGGACTATCGGATGTTCTCCCTTGATGTTGTCTCGTTATTTACCAATGTCCCTGTCAGAAACGGTCAATTTTCTGTGCAATTACATTGACCAGCAAGGAATGAACCTTGGCTTACCAGGTTGACAAACAAACCGCTTTTGACATTGTGCACAAAGTACCATCACACCGGAACCACAGAATAAAGAATCGTCTGCTTGCTACCGCGTAGGCGGTATGCATAAGACCAATGAATCTAGACTTATGCATCCAAAAGAAAATGGTTCAATCGTCACAGTTGCCTTGGCCAGTCATTTACGAAAGGAGAGGATCACATCCCAGCACCCATATGACATCCGCGACCTAATCACCCGACCAATGTCGACAAACCAATTTGTATGGTTTAATCCATTGCTTTGGTGAACAGTAATCTATCCATTTCCAACTTAGCGTCCATTATTTTAAGGAGCTGATGATGAACTAATAGAAAACAACTGTTTGTCGCAAGATTTCCGCTCATTTTCCTCTTTGGGATCCACTAGAAACTGGCACCGATGCAGGTAGACGTTTCAGATTTAGGTGGACGCGGACGCATAGGAAACCAGGGCTGTAAAGCGATGTGCGTAGCTCTGAACCGAGATGGAAATGGAGGTGCCCATCTGATGAAGACACACCAGATCACTGAGGATACAACCCCCATGGGAACAAGGTGGTATGCAGGTGTCACCATATGGTCTTTGTGTACTTCTCTTGTGGTAAGCTAGGTGTCATGTGATGGTACTTTTCACTGAGCGGTGGACCGAAGTTGTGCATTGGGGCATCTGTGAGGAACTAAAAAAGCAGTCTCAAAAAAGTGTAGGAGAAGCCACAAGGCTCCGTAATCAAGCATTTTATCTCCGTTCCGGCAGCAGTGCACAGACATTTGCGTAAGAAGGCCCATGAAACCAGTTTTGACAACCGCGACGGTACGTCGAGGGAAGAAAGCCAAGCGTATGGTAAAGTTGAAATTGCACAGCTATCTGGGTCACAACACTCGATCCGATAAGGAAGCAACGCTGGAAGTGCATGGAGTTTGCTTTCCACAAAACTAGGCGACACCGGCTGGTGTGCACAGAGTTCATGCCAGGAGTAACATAAATTTCGTTCCTGCGCAGGTAACTATAAATACCGCTCACCGGCTTGTCGATCTATCAGTTAGGACACCAGAGCATTTCGTTCGGGATGCGAAGTCACAAGGAACTGCATCCAAAGAGCAGTGATACAGAGGTTTTGAGTATATATAACACCCGAAAAACGCTGAGGAGAGTATTAGTTAAAACCCAAGTAGACGCACGATATATTACAAATGGTTGACTACCGTAAAGATATATTCAAGCGTATACGCCAAGTAGTAAGCAAGTGTTTACGTACACCGGAGCCACCGTATAGTGTATATTCTCCGTACTATTTGAGCATGAGGTGATTGGTGTGTTTTCCCATTGTAAACTAGGCACACTAACAAATGAATCCAGGTTACTGCATCTAAGGGGCGGGCTATTAACATATTGCCAAAGCCTGGACCAGATACGAAGGTAAAGTTGCTACCGTCATCGAACCAGAGTCACATCGGTCAACGGTCAGACACGATAACCGTCAAGATGGGCAGCGTAGACAGACGGCGGAAGCTATGGATGGGAGTCGAAAGAAATAAAGTTGTTCGGAAAATCGCATACCTAAACTAATGGGTTCCTTCATGTTTGTATTAACCTCCCTATGTGCTAATGTGCTTGTTGGATTTATTAACAGGTGAACATTTCCCATTGCGCTAGTTCGTCGTGATGGCAGCTTTAACGTACCGAAAACGCGGACGAGGTTGAAATTTCTCATAAAAGGCAAAACAGAGAAGAGTTCCCTGAACGAACCCATTGTTTGCGCTTCACAGCGTCCACAATGCGAATCAAATCTTGCTCCCATATTTTACTAGCTGCATCCATAATGGAAGAAAGTTCGAAGTTCCACACTCGGCGAAGCTCCATGATGCGGTGTCTCATTTCCCAAGCCATCTCCGCACGGGTAAAGGCTAGCAATAAATTCAAGCGTTGATTTTCTCGGTCCAGCCGATGGATTTCACCTTCCATTATTGCAGCTTGAAGGGCACTCAATGAACCGGTGTGAGTGCGCTGCACACCCGAGGTGGCTGTGGCAGCTCCATCAAGGTACGGAGGTTCTTCGGATTTTTGGACGAAACTGTCTGTCAAATGAGGTGTAGTAGTCTGAGCCTCCTGTTCGTTAGTGAAGGAGCTGAGTGCTGGAGGCACGGTAGGACGATCGACACCGTCTAGTAGTGGAGAAAAAGAAAGAGGTTAGCGATGGCTCAGAGTTCAGGCTGCACATCCCGTGGTGCAGTTGTTAGAAGCCAGGAGGCGACGGTTGTTCCCAAGAAAAGCTAAAGTACTGCGCAGAACCTACACGATAGGTAGGAATGTAAACAATTATTGGATGATCATAAACCGACGCGGCAATACTCACTAAATAAAAAGGTTTACTTTCCAATTCAATGATTTGGGAATTCGATTACAAACTCTTCGGTTGAGATAGTGCGTTATAAACATCTCCGAACAGAGACAGTAACGAGCACTATCCAGAAATGGTGGTTCAAAATTCACAAATAGAATGCAGTGAATAAAGAGGAAAGAGGAAACCATTGAGACCGTGTCGCGTTAGACTTTAGAACCAAATAGTCTCAGTGAATGCGAAATCTTTTGGTGGTCTCCGTTTTCACGTGAATCAGGGGTGATGATGACAGAAGGAAAAAGTTAGGGTAAATTATGAAACTGGAACTATTCGAACGAACGCGGTGACCGAAAGAACTCAAACAACCCAAGTGAAAAAACAGCTTGATGAGGGCTCATACGCAATTCAAGAGGGGGGATAGCAAAAGGAAAGGTAAATAGCCCACAAATGCGGTGGGTGAGCGATACATTCATGCGGTTAGTCGGTAAGGTGAGCCGATTGTGCTTATGCGGAGAACTGCAACGAAAAATCTGATGATCACGAACTGTAACATTTAAAGCGTACGATGGAGCATTGAGAAACAGATTGGAATGTAAATCTTAAGCCTGTCAGAACGGATTTAGAGAGGGCATCGTTTGCACTAGCATGGAATGAAAGATCATGAGGACGGTTTCGGGACATGCAAGCTTTGCGTAAAAAGCGAATGACCACTTTTGGGGTAGATAGTCCCGCGAGAGAGAAGAGGAAAGCAAAGCTTACCGGAATCTTTACGGGCGAGATGCCATTTTTCTTCCAGATTAATCAAAACTTCTTCGAATTGAGACCGGAATCGTTGGAGTAAAGAGTGTATCTCATCGGATGAATTGCACTCCTCCTTACTGGAATGGAAGTAATTAAGAAATGAAGTGAGGACAGTGATACACCGAAGCACTGGGTGACTGATGATGATGCAGCGTATGCTAAGACGGATGGATGAGTGAAAACGCGTCGTTATGGGCACTGGAAGACACACTTGATTTAGATTGCACGCCGGTGGGGATGAAAAGCATGAAGCACATAGATTGAAGAGCACAGAGAGAAGGAAACAATAAAAGCGCCCGACCCGGATAAGCAAAGAAGTGCAGACGCTTAATACTAATGAGAAACCTCCATCTTAAAGTCGACCGCGACAATTATAGTGTGGTTGAAAAAGATTGTTTATTGGAGAACAACTTGTATTAAAAAAAACAATCAAAAAGTAGTGTTTCAACGAATGACGATTGCGACTACAGGGGTGGATTAAAAAGTTCTCAGCCCAACCAAGAAGCAAATGGAATGAATTAAAAGTAAAATTAGTTCACAAAGTTTCATATCCTGGAAGTATCAATGCCAACTCTCAAGATGCTATCACAGATTGCGTGCAGGTGATGATCTATAGAAGTGATCTTGGTTGCACAATGTCTAAGAATAGACAAATATGAACGTTGAGCTGTGATCACGTACCTGTAGAAAAAGAATGTGACGCCAAAGGAAATCCGTACTGATATGGTTGGGATACAGGGTGAGGATTCTCCTACTTATTCCACTCTTAAGAAGTGGGGTGCGAATATAAAGAAGGGCAGGCAGAGCACTGGAGATGAGCCACAGTCTGGCCTCTTGAAATCTTCGACGTGTGATGATCAAGTGAAAGCAATTCACCTAGTGATATTGAATGATAGGTTAACTATTTCCGAAATAGCTGCGGCTATGATTACCAGTTATGGCTCAGTGTGTTGTTTTGACGAACATTCTGGGTATGAGAAAGCTGACTGCGGTATGAGTGCCAAGAATGTTGACACCTGACCAGAAATTGGACGTGCAAGAAAATTTAAGGCAAATTTTGACTCGTTTCAAGGAAAATCCCCACAACTTTCTTCAAAAGATTTTTTTACCCAGGATGAAATCAGGGTTCATCACTTTGAACAAGAGTCAAAGATTCTAACTAACCAGTGGAAGCACCGTGATTCTACACCCCCAAAGAAGTCCCGTCAGGTGACGTCCGCGGGAAAAACGATGGCCTGTCTTCTGGGACAATGAAGGTGTAATCATGATAGACTTCTTTCTGAAAGGACAGACCATCACAGGCGAGTATTGCGCTTCAGAATTATGCCAAGTGAAACAAGCAGTCAAAGAAAAGCGGTGGGGGAATCTCGCAGCAGTTCTCCTTTGGTATAACGCATGGGTTCAGACTTTTCAAGTGGCCATGTCAGAAGCAGCCATGGGCGGCTTTGAATTGCTGCCACACCCCGCTTATTCACCAGATTTGCCTCCAGCAGACTTTTATCAGTTCTTTAAACTAAAATGGCACCTCCGGGATCACATTTGCCGACGATGAGGAGTTGATCAGTACTGTGGAGCTGTTTTTGAAAGCATAGTCTTCGAGCTTCTTCCACAGAGGGATAGCAATGCTTGAACACCGTTGGACCGATTACATTCAACTTATGGGAGACTATGTTGAATAGTAATAAAGTATGACTTGGATAGCTGGATTCTTTCTATGCCGGGCCGAGAACCTTTCGATTCACCTTTGTAGTTATGATCTCCACCGACCAACAAACAGCGATCAAGAAATAAAGGTGCATCAGGATGATAGATGTCCAAAAATACAGCAACGTAGCGGTAAGTTTGATGATTCACGTGTTTGTGATACCTTGCGATCAACATTGAGAGATACACTATCGTACCAGTTAGGTAAACGACGAGGATCAGACCAAGTTCCAAGTCGGTACTAGTGACTCATTGATGTACTTGCACCGCTTAGTGACGCTGTCAAGTGAAGTCGTTTTACTTGAGAGATTTTGATTCTGTTCCGTTAAGAATCGGAGGCTATCATAGCATCCCAGTCAACATATAATCATGGGCCGCACCAAAAAACAATGTAATGCTACAGAATCGTTGCGCAGTTTCAATAGAGTCGGTTTAGTCATGGTACACGGTAAAAGAAATGTAAATGTGAAAACGGAGCAGTGATGATCACATTTCTCCCGAAAAACCACATATTACTCATGGGCCATCAAAGCACAATCCTAAGATAAATGAAAGAAAATAAATATGTATATTCCCCGACGCGAGGACTGCGTTCCCATTTAGGTCTTAATGACAAAGGCAATAAAAGTTCAAACAGAGAAACGGCAAGCATTGAATGCAGGTTTTGAATTTAAGCAATCAAGCCTTGCTATAAGCAGCAGCTTATAGGCTATGGAAATTCACCCGAGCTCCCACATGGCAATTCTAAAACAAACAACGAAAAAACAAAACGAAAAGAAACTGTGCTACAGCGTGCCACGATGTAGAAGACGAACAAAGTAATGAAGGTGAGTATTTAGCTGTCATTTGTATGATGCAAATTAAGTAAACCAGTTGACACTGAGACGGAACTCCCAGGTGGACTAAGAGAAGGCATCGATCAAAAGTTCCGGATCAAGGTGACTTCAGTAGATTGAACACTAGATTATAGTGAGCAGCGAGTTGTTTATCTGAAAACACCGGTGACACAAACACACAGAGCGGTGGAAAAAACGACGCTTGATAGACGTATTTGCATTGATCGAGCTCGCTTCTCATTCATAGGGGATATTTCTGTCACGAATTGAGACCATAGCGTTGTGCGGTTAGGGTTATAACATAAAGAGCAGGTACGTTGTATTAGACAAGTGAAATTGTAGTTACGCGCAACGTTTAAAACCGATTTCAGGAGCACGAGGCATAATAATGAAACTGGGCCTTAGAGTGATGTGACGATTTGTATGTGTTAGGCCAAATGATACGCACTGTATGACGCTTTCCAATATAAAAAATCATTTATGGCAGTGATAAGCAAAAGTTAGGTGGATCCGGTTTATAAGTATGAGATCAAATGAGATTGGAACGCGTCGTGGTGTGCAGTGTTTCGGAGCAGTCAATACCCAATTTCCATCTGCACCTATTTAAATCTTTACAACTTAACAGATACCCGCGAAGCTTCATCTGAAGGTGTATGAAGCACAGCAACACAAACAGAGAGTTTACACCAACGAGGAATATATGGGAGATTGCGGCTAGACTATTCGATTAGCATCACTTTATCAGAACACACAAACTGCCAGGTTGATGAAATCCTTATCAAAATCGAAGGAAGAATTGAAAGCGCATGGACAGCAGAATGTCGCATACAAACTGCGTTGCTGATGTTGCGAAAAATAGGAAAACAATTGGCAAAAAGGATGCCTAAGAAAAACATTATGCATCAGCCCGTTTCAGCAAATGTGGATGAGGAAGGAGGCAGTTTGATTAGGCCAAAACAGAAGCGCTTGCACAAAGCGAAACAAGAGGGGGAAGTTCGTGGAAGCTTGGTTTTCTACGAAGAACCCAACATGGGTATTGACATTGGTTTATTATAACATCTAATCCGACTGAAAAAAATCAGGAGGATTTCAGGACGCCGCTTGGACCAGAACAACTCGAGAGACTTCAGCCGCGGGGAAAATAAGTAAAAACCACGCGACGCAACTCGAAGCCGTCACCTTCGAGCACGGGGCGACGATTCAACCAGCAAGATCGCACCTTGCATATTACTGCATAGATGATGCCGCGTCACATGATGGCGAAACATTTGCACCCAAATTGCCAAGCACGGAGAACAAATATATATACTACCTCTTAACTCCTCGGCAAACCATCAGCCACAGATTACTTCTCTTGAGTTTGTTGGCAATAAACTGTCCTTGGATTTACCATCCAGGCTAGGACGTACGTTAAGTGACTGTGGAAACGTGGGATTCATACCCAAATTGTGCCTTTCAAAGTAGGTGCTCCACGTCAGATCGGCCAACGGGCAATGTTCGCCCTCGATTGATACATCCTCAGAGTTGATGTGCACTCTATCCTCGAAGCATGCATACAACATGGAAACACAGTGACGCTTGCAGGTTTCCTTGATTGGATGCCAGTGACTGCGACTATACTCTTCGTACCTCTGGTGGGGCTAAACCGGTGGCCAAGGCACAAGTAGTATAAAATGAATAAAAGTGTATAGGCTGACAGATTTGAAAAGAAACCGGTGAACAGCTGTGTGTCCAGTCTGATTGTAAAGGCAAAGTGAACTCTGTAGACGGTGGGTTGGGTCTAGGTATCGTTCCTTTGCATCGATGAGCGTCCGTGTGGAGGTGAACTATGATTGCAGGCAACATCCCGTTCGAGTGACCTGAAAAGAGGTTACAACCATCGTTATTAGTGGCGTGCACGCCAGCGATCCGCTTATGGAGGTTAGCATATGTTGCAGTGGGTCATTTCAATGTCGATACATACCACTGATGAAGTCAATCGGTTTCTTCGATAGCATACAGGACTTCAACATTCATTTGAGTAGCGAAGTTCATACGCATGGGGGCTTAGCATTGTGATAAATGGCGAACGCCTACTGAAACGCAGCTTTGGACTCATATTGACAACAGCTTCGGCGGTTGCAAATGACCCACGCGTTCATTGCACCATGGTCCATCGATCTGGAGCATGTAAACATACTCCAATTGTGTTTTAGTGCATCACTGCATACATCATAATCTAAGTTGAGAACAGAAGCGTCGAAGTTCGAGGCTCCGTGCACAGATTCTGAGCATACTCTCCACGAATCGGCAAGGAGCTAAGTTAGGAAAATAGATCTTGTATACTAGCGACGTGGATTATCTGGATAACGATCCACACGGCCTTCTAGGTGTAGCGGGGGTATACCCGAGGTCACTCGACCATCTATCTTCAAGTTTCGGATGCTGAATCAAATTTAGTAGAGTGCACTGCGTTAAAGGAAGCGAAGTTTGCTCGAATTCAGTTCACCAGAATTCGTAGTCAGACCTAGAGCGTTGCTCCGTCCCTATGACACATA